CAGCCTGACTTAAAACTTAAAGTTTAAGACTTAAAACAGCCCGACTCCAGAGTCCTGGAGGTGCTTAGACCCACTGATACTTACCTACTGTAATGCACTCTTGTATTTCTGCCAGGCCTCCTTCTGCTGTAATCTCTAACTGATATATATATATTTTTTTGGATCACTTGGTACTGGCGATTGAACTCAGGACCTGGCTCTTGTGACTCAGGTGGTGGCACCACTGAGCTAAATCCTTGGCCCTGATCATTTAGTTTTGAGAACAGACCTGGATGCCACTCAAATTTTCAAGATCCTTTTGTTGGCCTTCTAAAACATACCCGATCCTACCTAAAGTGTTTCTATATCCTAAGGAATCACTCTGGCCTTCTTTTCTAGGGTTCTGTTGATGGTGAAAGCTACTCTGGGTAGTTTTACTCTGATTGCTTGAGCTAAAAGAAAAAGACCCACCGCTGCACTTTTAATGTCCTTTTTCTTCTCTGAAAGCTCTGGCCCCTTGAATCCAAGTTTTCTTCTGTCCTAAATTCTTATTTGAGTTCCTTTCCTCTTTGAAGAAAAGTATAGAAAAAGACTTGATGGTACATACAGATTGAGCAGGATGTTTAAACAACTGATTATATACTTAACCTTGTTTTGTTTTTAAAAAGACATTGAGTTTCATTGAAGCTTCTGGTTATTTTAAGGGAAAAGTATTTTTTTGTTAACACAATGTCTTTAGAAATCAGCATCCAGGTAAGCCCATTTTTAATTTATCAGTGGCAATCTTAATCTTAATATGCTTAAGTATACTTTGCTTTTGAGGACAGAATTAATCTTTTATCAGATTTATCATGGATGCTGTTGGTTTCATTATTTTGGGAAAATGTTCTTGTGATTGTTTTAGAATTAATGCTGTTCACATGCTTCTATTTTTCCAATATCTATTCAGCATAAAGAATGCAGAAAATAAGAGTCATCCACACTAAAACTGCAAAGAGTTGTAAATCTGTTTGTAAAACTAACAGAAGTGTTTAACTTGTTGACTTCATCTTGACTGAGAGGAAAGTGCATCAAAAATTAACCATGTGTTACAGAGTATTTGGACTACCTGTTATAAAGTATATCTTTGTGAAGCTATGGAGAAAATTTTAGCACAGTTACAAAAAGATGATTTAGACATGAAAACTTTTTGGAAGTAGAGGTAAAATATAGGAAATTTCATTCTGCTTTTCATTTAGAGCAAGGATGGCTGAAAATACCAAAACTATTCATGTAAATTCTTTGTGGACCTGAGAGTTTAAGCTTTAAAATGACTGAGTCATTTTAGGGCTTGTTAAAAATACAAATCCTTGAGCTCCATCCTTTTTGGCTCAGAATTTTTGGTAAACTCCTTGAAGATTGTAATACACATTGTATTAGTCAAGGTTCTCCAAAGAAACAAGAGAACAAGAGCATTAGAAGATTATGTATTTTTTTACCAATACTTTTTTATAAGGTGTTGCATAAATGAATATAGAAATTGTAGTCATATATCTAGAAACCATATATCCAGCAGAACCATGGTATAGTGTCCAAGTCTGTGTCTGAAAGCAGAAAATGACCAGTGTCCCAGCTGAAAAATAGTAAGGCAGAGAACACAAATTCTCTGTTACTCTGACTTTTTGTTCCATTCATTAGGAGGCCCATTCACATTGGGAAGGGAAATTTGCCTTAGTCTACTGATGGCAATTGTTAGTTTCATCCACAGTCTTAACCAGAATACTGTTTAAGCAGAGATCAGGGTACCGTACAGTGTGGTCAGATTGACATATAAAATTATGACATACATCAAAGTTAAGAACTTCTTCCCCTTTTCTAAAAAAGATTTCAGAGCTGGTCATGTTGGTGCAAGCCTATAGTCGCAGCTATTTGCGAAGCTGAGGTTCGAGGATCTCTAAGTCCAGGAGTTTGAGGCTAGCCTGGGCAATATAGTGAGACCTTGTCTCAAAAGAGAAAGAAAAGAAAGGAAAATATTTCATAACACATAAAACACATGCACCATGGATTGATTATCCTAGCTACTAGGATAATTCCATTTTTAAAAAATCAATACATTTAAAATAATAAAACTATATCTTTGGTCTGAAAATAACAGAAAGTAGTATTATGGAGTGTATGGAGAATGAAGGAAAATAATTAATTTGTTTTCGTGTTGTGTTCATTTCCACTAAGTGCCAAGGATTGTTCTACATGCCAATCTTATACCAAGGAGTCTGAATAGATCACCTTCTTGGTAAGATGGTCAGCTCTTACAGTGTGCCTGTACTTAGGGGTTTTATGGGGATTTGGACTTTTGGTTCTAAGACTAAAGATATCCAAAACAAACTAAAATGGTTAGTTACTATACTGGAAGGGCAGATTAACTGATTAGCTTGAAGACAGCAAACTAATTATAGGTGTATCATGTAATTAAGTAGTGATTAATGTTCTGGTTTAAAAAAAAGCAGAGTAAGAGACAGAGTGACTAGCAGAATTATTTAGTGTTATTTTCAGGAGATACCAAGGAAGCAGAGAGAGGAATGAGATTAAGAAGTGAATTGTGTGGCCTCCTTTGGAGGTACATTTGGGGAAAAGGGTAGAGCGAATATGAAGACTTTGAGACAGAGACGAATATGGCATGTTTGAGGAAGAATCAGCACTACTTTGTGTAGAATAAATGAGGGAAGTGGAAGGGAATGAAGGAAGTTGAGGTCTGACGGGGTCATTTGTCAAGAGCTTTGGTAGCCATGGTAAAGAGTTTGGATTTTAAGTGTGATAGAAAATTATAAACATGTATTAATAAAAAATATCAGAGAATTTTGGATAGGGCAATGATAATAGTTAGATCTGTGGATATTATGTGAAGAATAAATGGAAGAAGCCAGGTGTTGGTTCAGATCCCTGAAATCCCAGTACTCAGGAGGCTGAGGCAAGAAGATCATCATGAATTTGAGGCCAGCCTGGGCTACATAGTGAGTTCAAGGTCAAACTAAACTACATTGGGAGACCCTGTCTCACAAAACAGAACAAAAATCAAGAAACAGAACAAAACAAAACAAATAGAGGAACAAGAATGGAATCAGATTCCTGAGCCTAAGTTAGGCTGTTTCCATGATTCAGGTAGGAGAAGATACTAATAATGGACTCAAATTGGTAGTGATGACAGAGATGAGAGTAGCCAGATTTAGTATTTGTTTGGAAGAATTGACAAAATTTTCTACTTTACTGGATGGAATTTGAAATAAAAATGTTTTGGTTTGACTTCCTAGATGATGCTTTTTGTGGAAGTGGAGGAATCCCAGGGAAGAGCAGTCTTGTTTGGAACATAAATATTTCCTCTTTGGACATATTATGATTGAGGTGCCTATAGACACCCAACGGCAGAGACAGTGGATATAGAAGTTTGAAATAGAATGCAGAGGCCTAGGCTAGAGATAAGTACTTGAGGATTAATACTTAGTATTTAGTGCCATGAGATTAGATTTTGTCATGTGGAGGTGAATTAAGGTGGGTAAGAGAAATGAAGTGAGGACCAAGATGAGAGAGTGACTAAGAGCCACCAGGAAGGAAGAAAAAACCCCCAGGGGAATGCAGTTCTCCTAGATAAATGGGTGAATTAATTGTTTCAAGAGAAACCGTCACCTGTTTCAGATGCTGTTGAAAGGCTGGGGTGAGACTCTAAACCAGTGATGGTTTTAGAGCTTTCATTGATAACATACAGACCTCTACCACACATGTGCTGTAGGTTCGCCACCACTGACCTACACCAACCATTTAATTTGATGGGTGATAACAGCTGAATGATAGAAACAAAACCTGATTAGAGGGAGATAAGTGTATACTATTTTCCAAGGCCTTCTATAGCAATATCATAAACTGAGTGGCTTAAATAGAAATTTATTGTCTTAAAATTGTGGAGTTGGCAGGATCATATTCCTTCTGAAGGTGATAGAAAAGGATATAAATTATGTGTTCCTGGTTGCTCATATTTTGTGATACTTAAAAAAGTTTTTGTCATTCCTTGCTTGTAGCAGCATAACTCTGTATCTCCAAATGGCATACTCCCTGCATATGTGTCTGTGTTTCTGCTACCCTTTTCTATAAGGATGGTTGTTGTATTGGTTTGTGGGCCCACTCTATTATAATGTGATTTCATCCTAACTTAACTATTTGCACCTGTAACAGCCCTTTTTCCAAATATGATCAAATTTTGTTGCACTTGAGGAGGTTGGACTTTAAAATATGAACTTTGAGAGAACACACTTCATTTCATAACATTGTGCTGTATCCCTACAATGAAATAATATTCAGCAATATAAAGGAAGAAAGCACTAATATAGTCTACTCCATGGATAAACCTTGAAGATATACTGAGTGAAATAAGACAGAAATAAAAGTTTACAATTGTATGTTCCATTTGTATAGTGTCCAGAAAAGATAAATCCACAAAGAGCATATTGTCAGGGGTTGGGGATGTGGAGACAGGGAAATGACTGCTCATGGGCATGGAATTTTTTTCTGAGATGATTCTCAAACTTATGATGCTTTCTGATGCTTTATTAAAAACATTTGAACTATACCTTTAGAAAGAGTGGGTTTGATGACATGTGAATTAGCTGTCAATAAAAATGTGAGATATTTATCTCAGCTATTTCTCATACATGTACACACACAGAACTAGACACGAATTGAGAAAGAGAGAGACAGAGACAGAAGCAGAGACAGAGAAGTGGACGTAGCCGATGTCAACATCTCTTTGGGATGTTTTGTATGATTACATACAAAGCGATGAGGTGATAGGTAAAATGGGATATAGGGTCAAGGAGAATTTTAAAAAAGAAAACAGTACATACTGTTCCATTTTGTATGTTGATTCAAATGCTCCAGGGGAAAGGGCATTAGTAATGATGCAAGGTGAGGCAGAGGGATTTTGTGGTACCAGCCCTATTCTTGAGTTCACTGTAATAGTATGTTGAAACACTTTCTTCATGTTTCTTACCTAGGTGACAGACCAGTCAGTGAAAGCGTTTGCTGAACACTGTCCTGAACTTCAGTATGTTGGCTTCATGGGTTGTTCAGTGACTTCTAAAGGAGTCATCCACCTAACCAAGGTAGGTGCCATGGCTACTTCTTGGCATTTTCATTCAGATAATGTGTCCTAACATTGTTTTGTTATTTGCTTTTTTTGCATATTTTTTTATATTACTAGGAATCAAACCTAGTACCTTGCTTAGGTACAACCCAGTCCTTTTTTTCCCCAGAGACTTGTTTTTATGTACTTTTACTTTTCTTAGTAATGTTTACAATATATAATTATTACATTCATTGCAAGGAATTGGTACATGTACACAATTAATTTCAATTCTTTTATGCCCCCTTTTCCTCTCCTTTCTAGAAGTTATTTATTTAGAGACAGGGTTTCACAAAATCACTAAGTTGCCCAGACGGGGCTCAGACTTGTAGTCCTGCTGCCACAGGCCCAATCAGAGTGCTATTACTGGTGTGTACCACTGTGTCCAGTACATTGTTTTTTGAGATATCTCACTGTGTTGCCCTGATTGATTTTGAAGTCCTGGTGGGTTCGAGTGATTCATTCCCTTGCCTCAGCTTCCCAAGTAGGTCGAATTGTAAGCATATACCACTACACCTTGCTCTCTAACTTTGTTAAGTATATTTTAATGTGGGATAGTCAGACCATTATAGGAATGTACTAGTGTTTGATAAAGTTAAAAACCAGTTTAAGATAACATCAAACTTACACTTTCAATTCATTTAAATAAGAAACTTTTTGCAATTTATTTGTGAGTCATTGTGAATATATATTTTAAAACCCGATACATATGATACGAATTATTTAAATGTTAATGTTTTGCTCTTAGAAGATGTATTGAGTTTTAACTGCTTATGTATCGTTAAGTCACATGATCTTTTGGCTTCAAAAAGTGAATATGGTCAGCATGATTAAGCTAAATATGTAAAATGAAAAGAGGTGAATGTATATAAAAATTTACCCGATATAAGATGTCTCTTATTTTAGCAGTGAGGAAAAAATGCCAAGTCCTTTGTGATCTCTCAGCTCAGCTGCTTTCGGAGCTCTAGTATAATTAGAAAATAATTCTCACTTTCATGTAATGGAAAATCTGCTGTCTATGAAATTACCTGTATATTGTCTGAATTTTTTCACTGACAGTTTTTACTCTATTATATATAATTTACGAGAATTAATTTATTTTAAGGATCCCTCTTTAATAGCTGACTAAACCTTTTCATTTAAACTTCTTTCATTTAATAATGATTAGAAAACCACTGTGTTGGCAGCACTATGCTGAAGCAAGTCAGTAAGATCTCAGTCTCTTTGGGCTTGATCTCTTCAAATCTCTTCAGGCTCACAGTTTAGTGGGAAATACTGTCTTCTTTCCTTCCACATGAAAGAACAAATTCTTATGAGTTATTTAGGACTATGGTAGAGATACACAGTGAGTAGGACGCTGGATTCCATTGCTAGTTTGAGTTTGATTCTTGGCTCTGCTACTTTATTAATTAAGTGGACAGTTTTTTTCTTGGTATTAAATAAAGTAACACATGTAAGGTTTTAGATTAGTATCAATGCCGCAATATGTACTAATCTTCAGTAAATTTAAAATAGATTTTATAGTGTCTAAATTTCTAGAAAAACAGTGCAAACTTTGATTTTAAAAAAGTCAAATCAACTTTTGTTATTTACTGTATCCAAAAGAGAGCATGATGTAGTTATACTGAGTCTTGAATTAGCGATCTGATATAATTGTATTTTTAGGATCAGCCTAAAACAAGAGGAAGGTGTGGGCTATTATTGCTCTATCAGAACATCATATTGTAACCAAGACCATATGTAACCATAATTTTTATTCATTTCCAATAATCTTGGCCTGAATATCTTGGTAGATGAATGTTTTTCTCGTCCCATCTAATGCTGTTTATAGTGTAGAGTAGAGATGCTGTTGGATGAACAGATTGTGCACAACAAATGTTGTAATGACCATATGTGGGATTTTATGATCATTCAAAATTGTACTCATTAAAGACAAAACAAGACTTATTAGACCAATAAGTGCTTCCATGAGCATTTTGAGATGGTCAAAATTTATGGTACACTGGTACTTAAAGAGATAGAATTATTCTCTGTGACAAAATAGCTATAGCAAATGTTTATGTTGGAAGGCTCAATTTGCTGAGGAAGTTCTTCTGAAGATATACTCCTAAGTGAAATAAATAAGTCACACATGTGTAAATAGCGAATAGTTTCTCTGGTGTGAATAATCTGCAATAATACATAAGACCCTAATAAGATTACTGACATTTAGAAAGGAGCTGAAGGTGTAGGGAAGGTGCGATGGATAGGGGAAGGGTAATAAGGGAAAAGAAAAAAATGTGAGATAATGAAAAGATGGAAATAAAGTGTTTGTAGATGGGGAGGGGAGGAGGGGGTGAAGGGAGGGCAGGGGTAAGGGGAAAAAATGAAAATCAAGACTTGTCATGTAGAGGTACAAGATCTCAATAATGAATGTAACTGTACTGTATCCCTAAAATGTACCAGTAAACTCAATTAAAGCTGAAAAAAAATTTGCATTCTGTTGTTTTATCAATTACTAAAATATTCACACAATATTTGTAAATATATAAATGTCCCTAGAAGTTGTTTCCCTTACTTATTATCATCATAGTACATGAAGTTATAAAATAAATTATTCAGTTATTTCCTTTCTCATACCCTTCCCGCTTCCTCTACACCTTTAGCCCTTTTCTCCCTATTACACATTGTCCATTATAATATTAGGATCTTATTTACAATTATAGTTTTTCACACTAGAGGGAAATAAGGGAAAATAAAAAATTATGAGAAAATGAAAATAAAGTTTTTGTAAATAGGGAAAGGAGGAGGGGGTGAAGGGAGGGGTAGGGGTAAGAGGAAAAAATGAGAACTAAGACTTGTCATGTAAAAGGTACAAGATCCCAATGATGAATGTAACTGTACTGTAGACCTAAAATGTACCAATAAACTCAATGAGGAAAATAAATTATTTAGGACACATGAGATACAGAGTATTGAGAGAGCTGTCACCTAAATATGTTCATTTTTTATGTGATTTAGAAAATCTTCACATATAACTTTACTGTCTGTTGATTTCAAACTTTTCTAAAAGAGACACATTAAACAAAATCTATGTACCTTAATTTTCTGTTTTTTCAAACCATGTGCCTGGATTCAATATTCTATCTCTAAATATAAAGTTTCTTTCTTTTTTTTTTTTAAAAAAATTGTTTTCTGCATGGTTTAATCTCCTCAGTCGTTGCTCAAAGGACTCTGAGAATTTGTAGGAATATGCAGGTGCAGACACAAAGCCCAGCTTCTTCTCTAACGTTGTGGAAAGGGACAGAGCCCTATGTTCCCCTACATCACCTGGACAGAGACCGGGGAGAGTGATAAAAAGTTTCTTGAACCCCAAAGAATCTATGAATTTAGGATTATAGGACCATAAGGGACTGTGAGGGGTCCTACTGAAACTAAGACAAATGTCAAAAGTCATGAGTCAGTTAGAAAGAAAATTGGGGATTTGTGACACCTTAGATTATTAAACCAAATGCCAGAAGACAGAAGATTGGAAATATATGGAATATTGATATCCTGTTAATTTGGTCTTTTAGATTTAATTTTGTTTTGATATTTTCAGTCTTAACTGGACTCATTTATTTTATAATATTCATTAATGACATTAGTTTTAGGTAGAGTCTGCTAATATCAAACAATACTGAGATTGGAAGCCTTCTTTTCAAACTGCTATTACTGTATAAGAGAGAGTCCAGAAATAGCCAAGACCAAATGAACATAAACTGAGAAGACGAAGTCAGGTTTACTGGATTGTTTGGAAGCATAGAGCTCCATTTTTAGGATGAAAACTTCTGTGATCTCTATTGTGCAGTTGAATATTAGTGTTGTATGCAGCAGAATTGGTTCTCTTTCAACAGAGGTGTATTTTTTTCATTGTGTTATACCTCCTTATACATACAAAATTTTTCTCTCTTTTTCTCTGCCCTACTTTTAAAAACAATTTCAGCAAATGCAAATATACAGTTAATCCCTAACGTCTAGGCTGGGGCACTTAGCTGTTATTTACCAATAAAGGAACTAGAAGGAACCTGTCAAAGGAATCAAAGCCAAGTGCAATGATTGCTACTGGCTTAAATTGGGATACTTTGAGAATCAGAAAGAAAATGATTGATATATTAAAATAAATAAAATATGCAAAAATCATGAGTTCATAATAATATAAAAAATATACAGTGGGCTAATTTCTTCATCCTAAGATGTAAGAAGAGATACCAGATTTATTCTCATCTTTGAGACAAACCAAAGATAGACAAAAAAAGTGGTTTTTAAGACCCTGGATATCAGACAACAAAGGAAGTGATCCCTGAGATATGAGAAACAAACAAGAGGAGTCCTGTGACTGTCTCAGTTTACTCATTGGGAGAATATTCAGATTGTAGCCCAGTGAGGGCCACCCCAGGCAAAACTCAGCAAACTGTTTGAAGTGACCAGAGAGAATATTAAGACCAGGAAGACCAATACAGTGAGATTCCAGAGCACAGAGCCCTGGGGTGGAGAGGACAGCAGAGAAGCCCACCTGTCTGTGGTGTCCTCCATGTCCTATGCATATTTCCATAACCAGCAAGTGAGGAAGAAAACAAGAAAAATTAAAGGATATTTTGAAGTGAATGAAAATGAAAATACCATTTATCAGATTTCACGTGATGCTGCTAAATTACTACTTAGATGTAATTAATAGAACTAAATACCTGTATAAGAAAAAAAAAATTTCAAATCTATGTCCTCATCTTCCATTTCATGAAACACTACACTAAAATTTAATTTCTGAAAGTGTTAAATGTGTTCCTGCTACATGATGTAGCCATTCCATTAGGTATTTGCCCAAGAGAAATACAAGTATAGCTCTTCAGAGCTACTTTATCTGTAATATCCCCAAACTAGAAACAACTCAAATGACTGTTTATATTTACTTGACTAATCTATTGTATATTCATACAACAGTACATGATACAACATTTGAAA